GTATATGTTTCTATCAATGAATTTATTGCTTCTTACTATAGAGCCAAGAAGCTGCTCTAATCATCTGTAAAAAAAATTTCCCTTTTTAGTTTTTTCTTTCCTTGTTAGAAGCAGGATGCTTGATGTGTTTTTGAATGATTTCTTAAAATTGGTTGATTTGTTGTGTTGTTTTTGTCAGTCTTTGAACAACACATATTCCTTCGAAATAGAAAATCCAATTTTTACGATCTTCCAATTTGTTTCAATGTTTTCTTCGATATAATATGTTTGTTTGATGGTTCTCCTTGTAGGTTCTTTCATCTTCGTTCTCTTCTCTATTGTGCTCCCAGGTAAAAACATTGTTTTTTTTGTTTTTTTTGGTTTTTCCCCCTTGTTTTTCGTTTTGCAATAATAGTAATCATGGTAATTTTGAATGATTTCTTAAAATTTGTGAATTTATTGCGTCATTTTTATTAGTGATGATGTGTCACTTGAGGGGCTATAGCAAGCACTAGAAGATTGCAAAACTGATTAGAGAGGGGATTTGAATAAACAGAGAGGGGATTTTATGTTTTTTTTTGCAATCAAATTTGGATTAAATTGACTGCTTTCATAAAAATAATAAAATAATATTCTTCAAATATATATTCATTTGCAAATTCCTGCTTCTTTTCCACACTGTATACCTATATGTCATTCGCCAATGCTATTACATTTTTAAGGTAAGACTAATGATTTTCATTGTAAATTTGATTTTTTTGGTTAAGGGGAATGTAATTGTTGAGCCTATGTTGATTTAAGTAATAAGATTTGGATTATGATATGATATGATATGATTGTAGAGAATGGATGCCTTTTTCTTGCCCACCAAGGTCCATAAGGTTTGCTTGTCAAAAAGAGAGTAATAATTCCAAGGGAAAAGATGTAATAGGTGGGATTACCTTGCCTCAGTTTTCTGCTGCTACCTTTCCTAAGGCACGTTACATAATAACTTTGCAAAAAATGAAAGCAGTGAAGATTTTTGGAGTGAAATAAATAATGTCTGACTGAATTATTTTGAAATGCAGGAGGCACAGAATGGGGGAATGGTTTCAGGTTCTGAATCTAGGTAGGTTGAGGAATTGGATTGAGAATTCTCTGCAATTGCATGAGATATTCACTTTAAATTCCTTCTTTATTCTTCTCAGTCAGTTTCTTTCTTTTATTTGGGAGAGGGTATGGTTGCTTCATTCATGAAATGCATTTACAGAATTGTTCTCTTCTTTTGTGGTGAAAATGTATTATCAGTTAGAATAAAATGTCTAGAGTTCTCAACACTTATTCCTTCACTATTTTTTGTTTTTTGAATGCTTATTCCTTCTTATTTATCCATCTGATGGAATGTCAGTGAACGAATATGAGAAGAAAATTGGTCAGTTATCTGTTCTTTTAGTGTTGTCTTTGTCATGTTTGGATGTCAAAAAAACAAAGAACTTTTATTAAGAACTCTTCAGTTGGCCTAATCAACAATAATTTTAATTTTCATTGAACGGCAGGCCAATTACCCATTTTATGGAATTGATGGCTAATTTGTTTTTAGAAGTATAGTAGACGTAGGACAATTGGCATTAGAGTTTGAAGAAGAANACAATTGGCCTTAGAGTTTGAAGAAGAATTGGACCGAAAATTAATGGCTAATTTGTTTTCAATGAACCATGCCTTTTGCCCTTGCATATCTTTTTTGGTGTAAATTTTGTTTAATTGGTAGTCTAATGTTAATTTAGAGCTTGAAACTAATTAATACTTTCTGTCCAATGATCTTAACTTGATGAAAGATGAAAACTTAAAAGGCTTGATAGTTGCAGACTACAACTATATTGTGTTATGCAATATGCATTATTGATGCCTGCAATTTTGTTCAAGTGTTTCGCCAGTATTTATTTGACGATGGGTTTGTTTTAATCCAGGCTTACACACACCTGTTTCAACAAGTGCATTGAGAAAAAGTATGCATCATGCACCTCATTTTAGTGAAATTACTCATTTAAGCATAAATATGAATTACTGAGTTCTAGAAATCTGGCAGTTTAGAACACTTCCTTTATCAGAATAATGATATTTATATTCAGTTGGTGTTTAAAGGGATTTTACTTCATCCATATTCAGGTACAAGGAATCTGAGTTCAATATGGGTGAAAACAGTTGCATTGACCGTTGTGTGTCAAAATATTGGCAGGTGAATGGACAAACTTCTTCTTCATCAGGCATTCTTATTGAATGGACAAAAGGGTTCGTCATCGAAGACATGGTTAGCTATAACATGTTTATTTTACTTCAGTGCTTAATGAGTCACTCTCAATGGTGTGCAGAAGAAAGTGTATATTTCCCTTTTCTTTTATTCTTTTCCTTTATGTGAGACACAATACGTTCAAGTGCATGCTCTAAGATGTGTTATGTCGAGCAGTTTTTAATTAATGAATGTACCAGAAGTGTACTCTGTTCTTGCATTTCCTTTTCTGGCTATACAAGAAGGGGTGTTAGGTTTTAGCTTTTTAATTTTGCTTCATTTGTGACAAATGCCTCTAAACTAGCATAAAAAGCTCTGCAGGTATCTCTTCTTACTAATTTTGATTTCCATGCTTTAATGGAGGGAAAGCAGACATAATGACTGGGATTTTGTTCTTCTATGAGCAGGTAATTTGAGGATTCCCTGTTTTCCTGACAAACAGTACGTTGTTAGCGTAATCCATTTCGTTCTGGTTAAAATATTAACGAAGGTCTTTATTATAACTTATTTCTCAATTGCTTGGTTCTGAGCATATAGTTTATTTCACTTGCATGGAATCAATTGTGTCCAAGCACGTGACTCTCATTTATGCCTAATAAGCCTTCAAATCACTCCACGCTATTAAATACACAATTAAAAATATAAGTTGTATGATAATATTGTCATCACAATTTTTATTTTATATTCCACATTTTAATTGCAATTATGCTCCTTAATTTTTTTCTCATTATAATAATTTTTTCTTTAATTTTTTCAGTCAAATTCTTATCTTCAACATTTCATTAATTAGTACATCTCATCCTTAATAATGATTTATATCAAAATATTTTATTTTCAAGATTTGAAATGAGAAAAAAAAAATCGCACATTTTTTTTTTAAATATGATGGGAAAAAAGTTGTTTTACGTCCTTTCAACGAAATTTTGGACATAAATTTTTTATCAAATATAAAAATGTGTTAACTGATAAAAAGTTTGAGGATAAGAACGACACGAGAAATCGTTAGGGACATAAGTGATATATTAAGCAAAGATTAAGAACCTTAAGTATAATTTAAATGTGATGTAAGAAATAAAAAATGTGGTGTGAATATAATTACTCTTACAATTTTTATCAACTTTTCAATCACACATTTCATTAATTTTTTTTAATCAAAATTTACTAAAAAAAATTATTTTTGAAATAATCAAACAGGGACATGATATTTTTTGCTAGGTCCAAAGTGGAAGTTCAAAGTTTGAGTAATAATTTTTTTTTTTTTTTGGTGCAAGTGTTTAGAAAAATTTTGTTTATAATTTTTTTTCCAATTTCTCCAATTTCTTTTGTAGGTATACCTTCAGTTGATTTTTCGTATTCCTATGCCAGAGAAAAAAAGAGCATCCTCGTGGAAAGAATTAAGCTGCTTATACAAGGGTACTTTGACAAATGTTTTGACTATCAGAAAAATTGTACAAGTAACATAATTGTCGAGAAAAAATCATGTAGATTCGTGCATTACCTGATTCCCACTTTGGATCTTGATGGTGAAATTTGATTTTCCCTTACGTAATTATTCCTATGTTTGGCTGTTGTTTATAAACAATCAAGTAATTTTTTATTCACATATTTAAAAAGACCCACAAATATTATTCACTATTCATTTCTATTTATTTATATTTAAAATCGTTTATAAACGCTCCCCAATCATGCTCTATATTTATTGGGTTCAAAATTTTCCCCTTAGTTGCCTTAAGTTGCGATTGTGAGTTTGATTCTTCCGTTGAAGATTATTTGAAGGTTGAAAATGTTAACTACAAGTACATATTAGCATCTTTATAAAGCATGCCCCTATATAATTTTTTAAAATTCATAATTTTAGTAAATTTTTATAAAAGTTGATAAAATATGTGATTGAAAAGTTGATAAAATTATGAATTTCATGAAATGTGTGTTGAATTTGGCTCGAATGTTTATGTGGATATTAGGTGAAATGGTCTCTTTTACAAAGTTATTTGTGAAAATAACCTTGGACTAAAATATATATAAGAATTAAAATAAGGCTAAATATGTTCTCATTTTAATTGCATGGAAGGTTCATAACATTACACATTATCACATTTATTTCTCGTACTTTTTTCATCACATTTATCCTCTCAAATTTAGTAAAAATTGTCCCTGATTATGATTTCTCTACAAAATTGCTATAAGATAGAGTAAAAAAAGTCTTATTTGCTCATTATATTTTTAAATAAGCAAAAAAATAACAATAATACAAAAATACGATTAAATATTTGACCTTCATTTTAAAATATGTTAACAATATTTTTGGACGAAAACAATGAATAAGTACAATATTTTTCCGATTAATAAAATGTTAAAAATAAGAATGTGATGAAGAAAAAAGTTAAAGATATAAGTGTTATAATGAATAGAAGTTAACGACCTTCAATGTAATTAAAATGTAGTATTTGTAAAAAAAAAAATGTGGTGTGAATATACCACCCTTAAATTAGAGTTTGTTCGAGCCTCATTTTTTGTATAGAATACATTTTGAAATAGTAGATTGATGAAAAGTATGTGATTAAAAAAAGGAAAAGTTTTGAATTTGCGTGTAATATTATTGTATTGAATAATTTGTGATTGAAAATAAGAGAAAGAAAAATGTAT